ACTGAGACCTCGTGCAACGGCCAGTTAGCCTCCGGTTTGGCATGCGCTCGAACCATTTTGGCTCGTTTGTATTCGCTACGAACTGGGGGCCAATAGGTGGATGAACCGCGTAACCATTTAGAGGAGATTAAGGCCACCTCGCAGCTCCGGACAAACTTGACGATAACGTACATACACGGCTGAAGAGAAATGAAACAAAATAGCGTCTTGTACAAAAAAGATACAGGGCGTAAAATCATGGAGGGAAATGACAAGGAGCTGAGTTGATGCAACGGGTCAGTTGGTATTTAACATACACTGAAACAGGAGAAAATTTGACGGAGGCACAAGGTGACAAGTTATCTCATGTGATCCGACAGACGTGTATCAGAAGACAAGGTAGTGGTATGAAACGATACGACGGTAAAATATTCTCTAGCTCTGGCCTTCGGATGGCGCTAACTCAATAACAGGCCTCACTGCACAATCCACCAATGTAACTTAAATTAATGTAGAGGATTTATAGCGCAAACTGTGGCATTCGACGTTTTGCTTGTCTAGATGTGCGTGAAAAGGGAGAGAACACCAGAATGATGCTTCTATTAACTCATGAAACGCTTTGTATTCAGAGTGAGATTAACTAATTCTTGACTAAAAATTCGCATGAATTCGGCTGATCTTGACTCAAGACAGGCCAATAGATACATGGTTACCAGGGTGTAATCATAGTGCATGCCACGGAGTGCATCTCCTAGTAGTGGATAAGATGACTTCTTCGGAGGTTAAGCTCTAATACAACAGCGATCAAATAGCAGTATCCCGACAAAGCTGGAGCGAATTACCTTTGAAAAGTGGTCATTGGTTCGCTTAATTCAAAACCGAGCTCAGCTTCCGTCGCAAGTGAGACAGACCGTCGAAATTGTTGATATATCAACTGGGACTTGGAAGAATCGAACTTCGTACTCACTTTACTTAAGCTGTCTCCTGCAAGAAAACAAGCTGGCTTCATTGAGCTTCGTGTGAATTCGATACGAGTTACGTCCCTAATATTTATCTGTTATTTGTTCGACTGCAATCCTTGAGCAACCTACAATACTTGAACTGTTCTTGTAGTGATGTGCTTGGATTTAGACCTGTATTCTACCCCCTGGATCAATAAGATGGTATAGACCACCCAGTCTGCCAGAACTAATTCATATACACAGATGAAGCTAAAACTTACCAGGTTTCGAGTATCCCCAACAGGTAAGTTCCTGAAACAAAGATGCTACCACTACCAGAAGGCCATACAACCCATTTTGGTGTGAATCAGCAAAACTAGGAAGATCTAATTGAAAGCAATAATTTCCCGAAATAAAACTAAACAAAGAACACAACACTGCAAGTGAGCCCAATTTAGTTCCGGAATCATTTCGCTACATCTTAGCTGGTGCTTACCGCAGAATACAAAATAGTTTATATATCACAGGTGTTGATAATATAACTTGGTATCAAATCATTCTTCCGCTTACGTGGCTACCAGGGTAATGCCAGACTAATAACGGCCTCCTGTTGCTGACACAGCAGGGGTTCTCGAAGCTTGGTCTATGCAACTCTTAGCAGCCGTCTATCCCAGGTTGTGTAAACAAGCCGAAAAGAATTCACGCGCTCGGCTTGGTGGTTAGTCTGTAGCAGATGGCGCTTCAGACCATTATATCATACTATATTCGAAACGCATTTGAGCCCAGATACTGTGCAAAAGAATTCGCGGCATAATAATCTATAAAACAAGGAAAAAGCCTTTGGACCATTAGTATCAATACCTACGGAAAGGGAATAGGGAGGGGGCTCCACATGAATAGTTAAGCCAAGATGGTCAAAGATAGTTCTGCTGAAGATTAAAAAACCCTGGGATGTTTATACGGTCGTGGATTCGCAAGACATGAGGATATCGGACTGCTCGCTCTAGGGCCGGTCTCTTTTATCGTCTTCCTGGTAGTCATACTTCCTCCTCATGTATATTCTGAGTGTCCGTTTTTTACGTTAACTTTTATATTTTCACATACGTCTGAGTTCGGACTGCGTTCCAAGCAAATCACGGCACAGTAATCTTTATAAAAAGAAGACATATCTATGATTTGAGTGCGATTATTTCGAGATGCCCAGGCCAAAGCAGGTGAATTGTCTTAGGGAATTCACGACCGGAACATTCGGCTAACCAGCATCTGACAGNTAGACGGGTCAAACGTCGAAGGTGCCCAATGGAGCCGGTGACCACTGTCACAACCGGGAAGGTGTGTGGGTGGATGTGACTCGTACGCCTCCTCTTGGTTGGTTTGAAATCTGGGTTTTTAGCCAACTCCTCCAGGTGAACTGCCAGTGGTCCACCAACCCGGTTACAGCTCCGGATTTTGGCTTTTCGTCCTCTCGTTTTGGTGAGAAAACACCTCTTTCACTAGAAGGCAGTGAGTAGGGCTTCCTCAGTAGGAGATATTTGAAACACCTGGTCGTATGGGAGCACAGCGAGGTGAAAGGGAGGGTTGATCATCCACAACTCGAGACATCCACCGCCGACCACACTGAGGCTTTCGAGTTTTGCACTTTCACGTAGCTCTCGTGATACGAAGGTTATGCTCATCCTATCCAGCAACCCTAGGTTCACCGGTGAAATGGAACCGATTAAGTTTCACACTCTCGTCTTGAGCAGGCTCAATGCGACTGAATGCCATCAAAGATTCTAATCAATATGTTATACAGAAGAAGACTACTACAAATGTAATTTCAGCATGCATACATGCTGGGCAAACAAGTATGCATGATTTGCAAACCATGGAACGTTTTTCGCTTTCATAAAAATTATGTTACCATGATTTGTTTGGCACAGTCTGGCCTCAGACAAGTGTGAAATATATAATAATATAAACAACTATACAAGTAGTTTACTTAGAACAGATGAGCACTGTTCAACCGAATTGCCGGTCGTAGACGACGATCCCCTGCTAAAGGAAACGTCAGCCGCCTGAACAGTAGAAACGATAGGCTTCCGTGCACGGCCATTGGTGGCAAGGTTGGTATATATCGTGATTTGGTTCTGTTGCGGGACTTCATATCCCGACTGTGGGGCTAGGTGGTCCACACCCTAATTCACTATTCACTGACGTTTCAAACCCTCTCCTAGGACGGCATCTCTAAAACCAGCCTGATTCTCAGGCGTGCACTCCTTACGAGAGGGTCTATCACCTCATCACGTCATTTAGTTGGAACTTGTTCACTCTCCCATATTTAGCCCGGGAGTTTCGCCAACTCCAAAACTAACGCTGGGCCCCCATCCTTAAAAGCCGATGGGGACAGCCAATCTAGGCCGGGGGCCTTACAACTTTAGGATACCTTATTTCCAGGGGAAACCTCCACTTCGCATGGAGGACTGGCACCAACTGGAAGTATTTGCCCAGTCGAGGTGCGGATGATAGGTCAGATGTTGATGGAGGCCAGTTGAACTGAGCTTCGAAATGTTCAGCCCATCGATCAAGACGGTGTTTCTGAGGAAGAATCGGTGCCATTGGATTCCTTAATTATCTCATTGACACCTATTTTCCTGGGGCCCGTATTCTTGGTTAGACGGAAGAGAGTGCGACTATTACCAATAACCGCATTTTTTCCATCTTTCTAAACTTCCATTCCCACCACTTCTCGTGGTCATTCCTCAGACTCTTGATGGGCTGACGTTTCTGAAATTTGAGAGCTCTGGTGTGTGGCGTCACGAGAAAGGGTTCTGTGGGTATCCAGCAGGGCAACCGAGGTCCATCGTTTGTTTTGGGTCTGCGCCAGGGTCCAACACTATTTTTATCGATATTTGCATAGCTTCCTTGATTGGCTTCCAGTATTCATTGAGTCCTTCGGCTGGTGGCTGAATTGCCACGTAATCGGAGAGTTCCGCTTCGAAGGCCGATTTGCAGCAATCGCTGACGTTGTATCGTGGGTATCCGTTGTCGGTGGCTTTTCTGCGGTTGTTTACCAGGCTCGTAGCAAAGCGTGGTCCGTATCCACATGTGTTGACCAGTAAGAACGGCAGTCTTGAATTGCCCCCCTCCAGCGGTAACTGATGGCGGTGGTCGATTTGGGTTCAGTGCTGTGAAGAGGTTGGCGGTTTCTATGCAAGACGGTGTCGTTTCTTGCGCCAGAAGTTCGAGCTTGGTAGGAACAGTCCGAGGTGCGCGCAGAGTTGAAGTAGGCGATCTCCGTTGTCCGTCTGATTGGCTGGGATTGCATGTTACCACTAAGAAGCCTTTCTGATTCGTTGAGAGATCCCACTTAAACACTGAAGTCCCCGGCGACTACTAAGATATGCGTTGACCGAGTACTTCGAACAGTTGAGAGCAGTCCTTGCAGAATTCATCCTTGATTTCAGGTGTACTGCAGTCGGTCGCTGCATACACCGATACCACGAGTAAGCATCGACACTTCGTTCCATAGCTACTGACCCGTACTGAACCGTTGAGACGTACAGCACACAGTCGGGTACTGACTGGAATCCAGTTAAGCGAGAGCTCAGTCGTGACAGTTAGCGCAATCCCAACACCAGCAACACCGCGAGCATCGGATGCCGAATCATCCGACAAACGAAGGGTGAAGCAGGAGGATGAGGTTGGGCCAGAACGCACTGAGAAAATTCAAGCAGAGCCTTGTGTGTTTGTTGGAGACACCGCATACGTCTGCAGTGAATGTTTCAAG